GGCCCACGGATTCGGAAACTCCGTGGCCCGCGGATTCGGAAACTTGCTGCCCCCCGGATTCGGAAACTTCGAAGCCCACGGATTTGGAAACTTCCTGGCCCTCGGATTCGGAAACTTGCAGCCCCTCGGATTCGGAAACTTCAAGGCCCACGGATTCGGAAACTCCCAGGGCGTCGGATTCGGAAACTCGCTGCCCCCCGGATTCGGAAACTTCGAAGCCCACGGATTCGGAAACTTCCAGGCCCTCGGATTCGGAAACTTCCAGGCCCTCGGATTCGGAAACTTCAAGGCCCACGGATTCGGAAACTCCGTGGCCCTCGGATTCGGAAACTCCCTGCCCCCCGGATTCGGAAACTTCGAAGCCCGCGGATTCGGAAACTGCCAGGGCGTCGGATTCGGAAACTCGCTGTCCCCCGGATTCGGAAACTTCGAAGACACGGATTCGGAAACTTCCAGGCCCTCGGATTCGGAAACTTCAAGGCCTTCGGATACGGAAAGTTGCGGCTCCCCCCGGATTCGGAAACTTGAATTTGGGATTTAGAAATAGCATTGGTGTGGAAACTCCCAGTGCCGAGATCTCAAAAAAAAACAAACTGCATTGTGGAAAAAAGAACATTCCGGATGTAGTTCGTCGGATTGATCTGAAAATGCAAACTGATCTCCTATATGTATAGACTCACTGATGCAATCCGAATGGTTGATCATACACGAATCCAATGTATCCCAATATTGACTGGTGTTTCCCATCATTGGGAATCACTTACATGCAAGTGCAGCTGATGCCTTGTCAAACTTACAGCAGCAGGATTTATACCAATGATCACTTGACGCAAACAGTGAGAATGCGGACAAGTGAACAATTCCTTTATATCTGGAGTGTATATGGTCTATATGCATGATATGCATGTAGAATGGGCGACAAGAACTCTGTGAAAGGGAAGGATGTGCATTGAGGAATACCATTGTATGCAGAGCTTTGGGGGGGGAAGTTTAGAAAATGACTTGCAATCGTGACAAGAACTCTGTGAAAGGGAAGGTATGCATTGATGACTACTATTGCATGTAGGGCTTTGGGGGGGGAAGGTTAGAAAATGACTTGCAATGGTGACAAGAACTCTATGCAAGGGAAGGATTTGCATTGAGGAATACCATTTCATGCAGGGCTTTGGGGGGGAAGTTTATAAAAAGACTTGCAACCGTGAGAAGAACTCTATGCAAGGGAAGGATGTGCATTGAGGAATACCATTGTATGCAGAGCTTTGGGGGGGGGAAGTTTAGAAAATGACTTGCAATGGTGACAAGAACTCTATGAAAGGGAAGGTATGCATTGAGGAATACCATTGTATGCAGAGCTTTGGGGGGGGAAGTTTATAAAAATGACTTGCAATCGTGACAAGAACTCTGTGAAAGGGAAGGATGTGCATTGAGGACTACCATTGCATGCAGAGCTTTGGGGGGGGAAGTTTAGAAAATGACTTGCAATGGTGATAAGAACTCTATGAAAGGGAAGGATGTGCATTGAGGACTACCCTTGCATTCAGAGCTTTGGGGGGGGGGAAGTTTAGAAAATGACTTGCAATGGTGACAAGAACTCTATGCAAGGGAAGGATGTGCATTCAGAAATACCATTGCATGCAGAGCTTTTAGGGGGGGAAGTTTAGAAAATGACTTGCAACCGTGACAAGAACTCTGTGAAAAGGAAGGATGTGCATTGAGGAATACCATTGTATGCAGAGCTTTGGGGGGGGGGAATTTAGAAAATGACTTGCAATGGTGACAAGAACTCTATGAAAGGGAAGGATGTGCATTGAGGAATACCATTGTATGCAGAGCTTTGGGGGGGGGAAGTTTATAAAAATGACTTGCAACCGTGACAAGAACTCTATGCAAGGGAAGGATGTGCATTGAGGACTACCATTGCATGCAGAGCTTTGGGGGGGAAGTTTAGAAAATGACTTGCAAAGGTGACAAGAACTCGATGAAAGGGAAGGATGTGCATTGAGGAATACCATTGTATGCAGAGCTTGGGGGGGGGGAAGTTTAGAAAATGACTTGCAATGGTGACAAGAACTCTATGCAAGGGAAGGATGCGCATTCAGAAATACCATTGCATGCAGAGCTTTAGGGTGGGAAGTTTAGAAAATGACTTGCAATGGTGACAAGAACTCTATGCAAGGGAAGGATGCGCATTCAGAAATACCATGGCATGCAGAGCTTTTCGGGGGGGAAGTTTAGAAAATGACTTGCAATCTTGACAAGAACTCTATGAAAGGGAAGGAATGCGGGGGACAGGGTGGAGTTGCTGAATCGGGACAGGGTGGAGTTGCTGAATCGGGACAGGGTGGAGTTGCTGAATCGGGACAGGGTGGAGTTGCTGAATCGGAACAGGGTGGAGTTGCTGAATCGGGACAGGGTGGAGTTGCTGAATCGGGACAGGGTGGAGTTGCTGAATCGGGACAGGGTGGAGTTGCTGAATCGGGACAGTGTGGAGTTGCTGAATCGGGACAGGGTGGAGTTGCGGAATCGGGACAGGGTGGAGTTGCTGAATCGGGACAACCCGGAGTTTCTGAATCCTTGGAGTTTCTGAATCGGAGTTGCTGAATCGGAGTTGCTGAATCGGGTAAAGTTTCTGAATCGTAATTTATTCCTCCAAAATTGGGTCCGTAAAATCCGCATCTTCCGCGCCAGAAAGTTAGGCAGTGAACGAGCCGGATTTCCTAAGGAAAAGGGAACCAGTATTCAGGAACATAAGTCTAACTCAACTAAACTAGAAAGACAGAGCCCACTAGAAATTCATAGGCTGACTCCCCAAAATTGGGTCCGTAAAATCCGCATCTTTTCCTGCAGAAAGTTAGGCTCTGTCACCTTTGAGTTGCTTAAAATAGCCACGCTAGAAAATTCAGGCCCCTCTGAAAGCTTGTTGTGCCCAGAATACAAACCTGGGATGACTAGGAAATGAAGGCTTACAGGGGGGTTGACCCCCTAGACTTTCTGGCGGAAACTGGTAAGGGGATATATTTATTATATAAGGCAATAACATAATTTTAGGATTTTTTTTGGGAGATACCATGAGACACGGATTCGGAAACTTCCAGGCCCTCGGGTTCGGAAACTTCAAGGCCTTCGGATACGGAAAGTTGCGGCTCCCCCCGGATTCGGAAACTTGAATTTGGGATTTAGAAATAGCATTGGTGTGGAAACTCCCAGTGCCGAGATCTCAAAAAAAAAAAACTGCATTGTGGAAAAAAGAACATTCCGGATGCAGTTCGTCGGATTGATCTGAAAATGCAAACTGATCTCCTATATGTATAGACTCACTGATGCAATCCGAATGGTTGATCATACACGAATCCAATGTATCCCAATATTGACTGGTGTTTCCCATCATTGGGAATCACTTACATGCAAGTGCAGCTGATGCCTTGTCAAACTTACAGCAGCAGGATTTATACCAATGATCACTTGACGCAAACAGTGAGAATGCGGACAGGTGAACAATTCCTTTATATCTGGAGTGTATATGGTCTATATGCATGATATGCATGTAGAATGGGCGACAAGAACTCTGTGAAAGGGAAGGATGTGCATTGAGGAATACCATTGTATGCAGAGCTTTGGGGGGGGAAGTTTAGAAAATGACTTGCAATCGTGACAAGAACTCTGTGAAAGGGAAGGTATGCATTGATGACTACTATTGCATGTAGGGCTTTGGGGGGGGAAGGTTAGAAAATGACTTGCAATGGTGACAAGAACTCTATGCAAGGGAAGGATTTGCATTGAGGAATACCATTGCATGCAGGGCTTTGGGGGGGAAGTTTATAAAAAGACTTGCAACCGTGAGAAGAACTCTATGCAAGGGAAGGATGTGCATTGAGGAATACCATTGTATGCAGAGCTTTGGGGGGGGGAAGTTTAGAAAATGACTTGCAATGGTGACAAGAACTCTATGAAAGGGAAGGATGTGCATTGAGGAATACCATTGTATGCAGAGCTTTGGGGGGGGAAGTTTATAAAAATGACTTGCAACCGTGACAAGAACTCTATGAAAGGGAAGGATGTGCATTGAGGAATACCATTGTATGCAGAGCTTTGGGGGGGGAAGTTTATAAACATGACTTGCAACCGTGACAAGAACTCTATGCAAGGGAAGGATGCGCATTGAGGACTGCCATTGTATGCAGAGCTTTGGGGGGGGAAGTTTAGAAAATGACTTGCAATGGTGACAAGAACTCTATGAAAGGGAAGGATGTGCATTGAGGACTACAAGAACTCTATGCAAGGGAAGGATGTGCATTCAGAAATACCATTGATGCAGAGCTTTGGGGGGGGAAGTTTAGAAAATGACTTGCAACCGTGACAAGAACTCTATGCAAGGGAAGGATGTGCATTCAGAATGCAGAGCTTTTAGGGGGGGAAGTTTAGAAAATGTGCATTGAGGAATACCATTGTATGCAGAGCTTTGGGGGGGGGGAATTTAGAAAATGACTTGCAATGGTGACAAGAACTCTATGAAAGGGAAGGATGTGCATTGAGGAATACCATTGTATGCAGAGCTTTGGGGGGGGAAGTTTATAAAAATGACTTGCAACCGTGAGAAGAACTCTATGCAAGGGAAGGATGTGCATTGAGGACTACCATTGCATGCAGAGCTTTGGGGGGGGGGAAGTTTAGAAAATGACTTGCAATCGTGACAAGAACTCTGTGAAAGGGAAGGATGTGTATTGAGGAATACCATTGTATGCAGAGCTTTGGGGGGGGGAAGTTTAGAAAATGACTTGCAATCGTGACAAGAACTCTGTGAAAGGGAAGGTATGCATTGATGACTACTATTGCATGTAGGGCTTTGGGGGGGGAAGTTTATAAAAAGACTTGCAACCGTGAGAAGAACTCTATGCAAGGGAAGGATGTGAATTGAGGAATACCATTGCATGCAGAGCTTTGGGGGGGGGAAGTTTAGACAATGACTTGGAATCTTGACAAGAACTCTATGCAAGGGAAGGATGCGGGACAGGGTGGAGTTGCTGAATCGGGACAGGTTGGAGTTGCTGAATCGGGACAGGGTGGAGTTGCTGAATCGGGAGAGGGGGGAGTTGTTGAATCGGGAGAGGGTGGAGTTGCTGAATCGGGAGGGGGTGGAGTTGCTGAATCGGGACAGGGTGGAGTTGCTGAATCGGGACAGGGTGGAGTTGCTGAATCGGGACAGGGTGGAGTTGCTGAATCGGGACAGGGTGGAGTTGCTGAATCGGAACAGGGTGGAGTTGCTGAATCGGGACAGGGTGGAGTTGCTGAATCGGGACAGGGTGGAGTTGCTGAATCGGGACAGGGTGGAGTTGCTGAATCGGGACAGTGTGGAGTTGCTGAATCGGGACAGGGTGGAGTTGCGGAATCGGGACAGGGTGGAGTTGCTGAATCGGGACAACCCGGAGTTTCTGAATCCTTGGAGTTTCTGAATCGGAGTTGCTGAATCGGAGTTGCTGAATCGGGTAAAGTTTCTGAATCGTAATTTATTCCTCCAAAATTGGGTCCGTAAAATCCGCATCTTCCGCGCCAGAAAGTTAGGCAGTGAACGAGCCGGATTTCCTAAGGAAAAGGGAACCAGTATTCAGGAACATAAGTCTAACTCAACTAAACTAGAAAGACAGAGCCCACTAGAAATTCATAGGCTGACTCCCCAAAATTGGGTCCGTAAAATCCGCATCTTTTCCTGCAGAAAGTTAGGCTCTGTCACCTTTGAGTTGCTTAAAATAGCCACGCTAGAAAATTCAGGCCCCTCTGAAAGCTTGTTGTGCCCAGAATACAAACCTGGGATGACTAGGAAATGAAGGCTTACAGGGGGGTTGACCCCCTAGACTTTCTGGCGGAAACTGGTAAGGGGATATATTTATTATATAAGGCAATAACATAATTTTAGGATTTTTTTTGGGAGATACCATGAGACACGGATTCGGAAACTTCCAGGCCCTCGGGTTCGGAAACTTCAAGGCCTTCGGATACGGAAAGTTGCGGCTCCCCCCGGATTCGGAAACTTGAATTTGGGATTTAGAAATAGCATTGGTGTGGAAACTCCCAGTGCCGAGATCTCAAAAAAAAAAAACTGCATTGTGGAAAAAAGAACATTCCGGATGCAGTTCGTCGGATTGATCTGAAAATGCAAACTGATCTCCTATATGTATAGACTCACTGATGCAATCCGAATGGTTGATCATACACGAATCCAATGTATCCCAATATTGACTGGTGTTTCCCATCATTGGGAATCACTTACATGCAAGTGCAGCTGATGCCTTGTCAAACTTACAGCAGCAGGATTTATACCAATGATCACTTGACGCAAACAGTGAGAATGCGGACAGGTGAACAATTCCTTTATATCTGGAGTGTATATGGTCTATATGCATGATATGCATGTAGAATGGGCGACAAGAACTCTGTGAAAGGGAAGGATGTGCATTGAGGAATACCATTGTATGCAGAGCTTTGGGGGGGGAAGTTTAGAAAATGACTTGCAATCGTGACAAGAACTCTGTGAAAGGGAAGGTATGCATTGATGACTACTATTGCATGTAGGGCTTTGGGGGGGGAAGGTTAGAAAATGACTTGCAATGGTGACAAGAACTCTATGCAAGGGAAGGATTTGCATTGAGGAATAAAATTGGCATGAAGGGCTTTTCCCCCCTCTCCCCCCCCCCCCCCCCCCCCCCCCCCCCCCCGGGGGGGGAAAGTTTTATTAAAAACAGACTTGCAAACGTGAGAAGAAACTCATGCTAAGGGATAGGATTGAATTGAGGGAATACCATTGTATGCAGAGGTGGGGGGGGGGAAAGGAAGTTTAGAAATGGACTTGCAACCCTGGTGACAAGAAACTCTATTGAAAGGGAAGGATGGCATGAGGAATACCAGGTAAATGAAGAGCTTGGGGGGCGGAAGTTTATAAAAATGACTTTGCAACCGTGGACAGAAACTCTATGAAAGGAAGGATGTGCATTGAGGAATACCATTGTATGCAGAGCTTTGGGGGGGGGAAGTTTAGAAAATGACTTGCAATGGTGACAAGAACTCTATGAAAGGGAAGGATGCGCATTGAGGACTGCCATTGTATGCAGAGCTTTGGGGGGGGAAGTTTAGAAAATGACTTGCAATGGTGACAAGAACTCTATGAAAGGGAAGGATGTGCATTGAGGACTACCCTTGCATGCAGAGCTTTGGGGGGGGGAAGTTTAGAAAATGACTTGCAATGGTGACAAGAACTCTATGCAAGGGAAGGATGTGCATTCAGAAATACCATTGCATGCAGAGCTTTTAGGGGGGGAAGTTTAGAAAATGACTTGCAATCGTGACAAGAACTCTGTGAAAAGGAAGGATGTGCATTGAGGAATACCATTGTATGCAGAGCTTTGGGGGGGGGAAGTTTAGAAAATGACTTGCAATGGTGACAAGAACTCTATGAAAGGGAAGGATGTGCATTGAGGAATACCATTGTATGCAGAGCTTTGGGGGGGGGAAGTTTATAAAAATGACTTGCAACCGTGACAAGAACTCTATGCAAGGGAAGGATGTGCATTGAGGACTACCATTGCATGCAGAGCTTTGGGGGGGGAAGTTTAGAAAATGACTTGCAAAGGTGACAAGAACTCGATGAAAGGGAAGGATGTGTATTGAGGAATACCATTGTATGCAGAGCTTGGGGGGGGAAGTTTAGAAAATGACTTGCAATGGTGACAAGAACTCTATGCAAGGGAAGGATGCGCATTCAGAAATACCATTGCATGCAGAGCTTTAGGGTGGGAAGTTTAGAAAATGACTTGCAATGGTGACAAGAACTCTATGCAAGGGAAGGATGCGCATTCAGAAATACCATTGCATGCAGAGCTTTTCGGGGGGGAAGTTTAGAAAATGACTTGGAATCTTGATAAGAACTCTATGCAAGGGAAGGATGCGGGACAGGGTGGAGTTGCTGAATCGGGACAGGGTGGAGTTGCTGAATCGGGACAGGGTGGAGTTGCTGAATCGGGACAGGGTGGAGTTGCTGAATCGGGACAGGGTGGAGTTGCTGAATCGGGACAGGGTGGAGTTGCTGAATCGGGACAGGGTGGAGTTGCTGAATCGGGACAGGGTGGAGTTGCTGAATCGGGACAGTGTGGAGTTGCTGAATCGGGACAGGGTGGAGTTGCGGAATCGGGACAGGGTGGAGTTGCTGAATCGGGACAGGGTGGAGTTGCTGAATCGGGACAACCCGGAGTTTCTGAATCCTTGGAGTTTCTGAATCGGAGTTGCTGAATCGGAGTTGCTGAATCGGGTAAAGTTTCTGAATCGTAATTTATTCCTTGTTTTTGGGTCCCCCAAACACCATCCGAACGCCGAAGGCCTTTCGTTTCTTGCCAGTCTGTCCCGCAAGTGCCGCCTTGGCACCTGCCGCTGCAGCCGGTGGTCCCAAAAAGAAGGTCCAACTGAGAATGGCTGGAAGTGGATGAAAGTGGCATATACTCTTTATAGTATCCATATATAATTATATTTATAATGTCCATATGTGTATGATTGTGTATGATTGTGTATGTATATAGAAATGCTTAGAGATAATTTTGAAGGCACCCCTGTGGTGTCTCCCAACTGTTCGCACCAAGCGGGAACCGCAGATTTTTTGATCCAAAATTCAAATCACCTCGTATACCAATCCTGTCCACAGGGTGGGAGACTTAGAATAGAGGAGTTATATATATATAATCTTCCATCCCTCTTAAATGACTAAGTTGCACATGAAAATCCATCCAGAGCATGCTAGACTTGCCCAGAAACTCCATGGATGTTGTGATTTTTTTTCGTCCAGTCCGTCACAGTCATCTCGCTTTGAAGACCAGGGTATGCTTCAAGCGATTTATACAATCATCTAGGATTTCTAATGTTTCTACACTGGAAAGATCGAACTAGGAGGAAAGGCCCTTGCTACTCTTGGCTTGATTCAACCGTGTCACAGGCAAGGAGTCTGCATTTCGCACCTGCAGTGCAACAGCCGCAGCGAGCCCCACAGCATTGAGCACGGTCAGAAGCAAGAAGGATGTCTGGAAACACCCTCGCCCCTCGCACACATCCTTGCCGCCCGCAGCGTTGCGATAGACCACGGGCATCAAGTGACACACAATGACCAGGGCGGCTGGTGCCTGGCAGCTCATCTGTGCACCCAACATCTTGCCAAACTCCAAGTTGCCGTACATCTCATTCATTAAGGGCACTTGGACGGTATAGAAAGAGCCAAAGGACAAGCCCATCAGACAGGTGCCGGCCATGATGCCGGTCAGGTCCATAAGGCACACCAAGAACTGTCCCATCATAGCAAAAAATGATGCAGCTGTCAGCCAATGGAATTTCGTGAAGTGTGCATCGTATTTCTCGCTGAGGATGCCAACAACAACCCGCGAAAGGGCCGAAGTCAAGGCGAATAGAGCCACTCCTAAGCTGCTCGCTGAGTCATGCCCTGTGGTCTCCAAGATCAAGGCCAAGTTCTGATTGGTGGCCACCCCGGCTCCAAAGACGGCAAATTGGCACACCCAGAGGAGCCAAAAATCCATCCCCTTGAAGGCCGTCTGAAAGGATATGCCGATCCTGTTCTTGGGCCTGACGATTTCATGTGCAGAACCGGCAGAACCCTGACCACTTTCTTTCACGGTCACCAGGAGGAGCAAAGGACTTATCTGCAAAGCAAGAGCGACGCTGCCAGTGATCCAGCTGGAAGCTCCCATGCCGTTGGCATAGTCATAGCCTGCCCAAACATCAAAGCAGGTCAGGGCCAAGAGGAGGAAAATCAGGCTCACAGCGCGAGCGATTTCGCCTCGTTCTTTCAATGACTCCTTGCACTGGGGAGGCAAGACCTTGATGCTCGAAAGGCTCATGACCCCCACCACGAAGGGTGCAATGGCTGAGAGTGCCATGAAGGACACCAGGCTGAATCGATTCCGGAAGAGCTGAACCCACAGAAGGGCCCACACACCCCCTGCAGTGGCCAGTACTGCCTTGAGATATCCAACCACGGCAGCCTGATTTTGGGGAAAGGAAATGGAGCAGGCCATACAAGTGATGTTGTCTAGGAGGCTGACGCTGGCGTAGCCGGCCACGAGGGAACCCACACAAGCGAGCATGACCTTGAGGTTCTTCGCAAGACTACTGACCAGGGCAATGCCGATGAGACAGTAGCCAACGGAGAGGCAACAGCAGCCCAGGCACACCGCAGCCCTGGGTCCGGAGCGATCGAATAGCATTCCCCCAAGGAAGCCGGCGAGGTTCCCCGTGAAGGCCATGGCCCCTATGATGGTGGCAGAGGTCATGGAAATCTGCAAGGTGTCCCTGAGATCGTTTTGCCAAGCACCCATGGCATAGACCGAGCCACTTACCACCTGTATCATAGCGCTCATGATGACAAACCACCATCGATCAGAGACGCCTCCTGGAGCACAGACTTCCTCGTGGTATTTCCTGGAGTTCTTGGTAAATTCCCAGGTGAGGAAGAGCAAAGCAGCGCTGGCCACGCCCAAGAAAGTCTCAGTCGTAATGCGGGGGTTCTGACTGGCATCTACCGGTTTCTGACTGGCATCTACCGGTTTCGGACTGGCATCTACCAGGTCATCTAGCAGTGTGAGGTCCACGCGTTTCGGCTGCGCGAACTCACCGATCTTCCGGGGAGTTTGAAGAAACGACGGATCCTCACAACTCTCATTGTGGTCAGCTGCTGAAGCAATGCATCCCAAAAGCAAGGCGGTTAGAGCCACCAGAGGCAGGATGCCCCTAGCTCGCATGATATGAAAGATACGATGGGTTTTGAATGGCCAACTGGCCACTCTTTGAGCCAAAATTTGATCCATACTGACTCATACGGACTCAGACCCACAAGACCACAGGCCGCAGATGTTGCTTTCAGACTCACAAAAAAAAAACATGGAACAAACACACGTCGGTCAGAAAAAAACATGAACAAAAACATCCCAACCTGCATAGTCTGGATGTGCTTCGTACATCTGCCGGACGATGTTTCTTTTTACCGCCTTCAGGGAAAGCCAGGCTGATGCAGCGAATCATGGCATAGCAATACTTCAGTATCTATCCATAGCTGCATGTAATTACCAGCCTTTCGTCTTGAAGGGTTTTCCATGGGTTTTCCTCTGTTCCCCCTCCATCCAGGGGACTTGCAAACGGCAACTCCTGGACAGCCAGCCTTGGGGATGTGTTTGATGTGCATGAAATTGCACGCACCCCCGCGAGAGCAGCGGGTCTCATGAAAGGCTCGACAGCGAGCTTCCCGGAAATCCGTCACGGGGCTGTACCTGTGTTGCTCAGGGACGACTTGTGGGGTGAGCCAAATCAGCCGATAATGAAAAAAATGGTGAATGATCTGTGAATTGTGAATTATATATATATGTATGGGGATGGAACATAATCCAAACATCGGGAGCGGCAAGCAAACATCTGTGACTCACACCGTGCATTCTATGTATATACTTATATATAATATATTATAATATATTATGATATATTATAATATATATTATATATTATAATATATCATAATATAATATATTCTTATATATTATTATTATATATTCTTATATATTATTATATATTTCTATATATTATTAAATATAATATTATATATCACATTATATATGGTTATATATTATATTATATATATCATATTATATATATTATATATTATATATATTATATATATTATATATATTATATATATTATATATATTATATATATAATATTATATATATATATATTATAGTATATATATATGATATTATATTATATATATTATAGTATATATATATATATTATATTATATATAATATATTATATTATATTATAATATATTATATTATATTATAATATATTATATTATATTATATTATATATTATATTATATTATATTATATATTATATAATGATTTATTATATATATACGTATGTAAAGGGATTGTATTAGGGTGGAAGATGGACATTGGAATCACCAAACAGCAAAATTATGTCATCCACCCGGCCAGTACCAAACGGAGCAAATTATGTACTATGTTGGTGACAAAACCAATTGACCAACAGATCTACGTTGGTGGCTTCGACCCATCTCCAAAAATAGTGGCCATATGGGGATCATCATATGCACCTGGTGGATTTCTTAGAAAATCGGTAAACTGCATGCGCCGTCGCAGCGCCCGTGGGGCACTCCACATTGATCAAGCGGCTACCGTAGAAGCGATTCGTCATTTGCTGCGCAGCCTGCAGACTTAAGCCAACAGGATCTGACACGTCACAAAAAGTGCAGGATTGTATTTGTTTAAATTCATGTATCGTTTGGATTCCAGTTCTGTTTTCGATTTCAACATCAAGGCTAAGTATCGTTTCCTTGCCTTACAATGTTCCAAATTTTGATGATCCATACTCAGCCTTACTCTAGAAAGAAAAAAACTGACATAACACTTGAGTCTTGATTGTCTTCGGCTTCCTGCCTTATCAGCATCACTCTCGTTGAAGTACCTGCACTTTCAGGGCGAGTTTAACAAGTTCCTCTCCTGGTTTACCTGGAAAAATCACGTACATGGATGTTCATCTGACATTAAATGTAACATCATAGGTTTTGACCCAACCCAATATCATGAAACTTTGTGAATATCCGTGACCTGTACCCTCTGGCAAAGTAACATAGCTAATGTTGGGTCTTGATTGGTGTGCCCCCCCCAAACAATTCAGGGGGTTGCTTTAGGGCCGGTAAACTTTGATCGACCAGGTCTGAAATAGTGAGGCTCATGATCTTAAGTAAGGATTTTTCAATTGATACCAACGTACTTTCAATTGATTTTCCGTTTAAACTCTAAAGAAATCTAAGGATAAGAAAGGAGTTCAATTGATATCAATCTACTTTCAATTGATTTTCCGTCTAAACCATCAAGAAAATTATGGATAGGAAAGGATGACAATCAATATCACTCTACTTTCAATTGATTGTCTTTTTAAACCTCAAATAAATTCTAAGGATTTCAATCGATATCAATCTACTTTCACATTCAATACATTTTCCTTTCAACCTAAATCTAAGGAGAAGCAAGGACTTCGATAGATGTCCATCTACTTTCAATTCATTTTCTTTTTACTCCTAAAGAAATCTAAGGATAGGTAAGGACTTCAATAGATATCCATCTATTTTCAATCCATGTTCCTTTTAAACCTAAATCAAATGATAAGTAAGGACTTCAATAGATTCATCCATTTACTTTCAATTGATATTCTTTTAAAAATTAAACCCAAACGGAAATCTATTGATAAGAATGGATTTCAATTCACATATCAATTTACTTTCAATTCATTTTTTGAAACCAAAAGAATTCTAAGGGTAAGTAAGATTTTAAGTTCATGTTAATCTATTTACAAATCCTTTAGACATATCATAGAGTTCCCATAGACATACCATAGAATTCCCATAGAAAT